TATATTACAATTTACTTGCTATAAATTTTAACCAAAAAACAAAACATAAGAGCAAGATAGTAATGTAAGACTGTAAATATCAGGAACAAATAATAAAGTGATTCTTGAAACAATTGTACTATTACCTTTACACGATTTGTTAGTGTAAAAGTATTAAATTAATTTTTTTGCTAAGTATCTTAGCTTAATCTTATACATATTCCGAAGACATAATTCACTTTTAAATTGCTTACTTAATACGTAAAAATTATTTAAAATATATGATTTTTCTTACTTGATCTTGAGGGTGTAGAACAGAATACATTTTTCATGTTCTCTTTCCAGTCAGTCTGTTGGACGTCGTCCGTCAATAAAAGTCGTTCACTGTAACAAATCTTTTGCTTCACTGGAGTATTGTTACAGCTGCCAGTTATATTCGTTGCACTATTCATACTATAAGTCTGATAACCGGTGTCTTGTACAGAGTTTGAAACACTTTGTTGGTCAGACATGCCTAATTTAGTAAATGTGTAAATATCGTTTCGATCTTTCGAAGGAAGTTCTACGTCCTCAGTCTCAAAGTTCTTTTCGATATAAGTCGAATTTTTCGCGACAATTTTCGTCCCGGGCGAGTTATTAATTTGAGCATGCTCGGAGTTATTGTCGAAATTTAGGAACTTATGAATTTCGTATTCTGCCACTGGTGTCATAACGTTGTCAAAGGACACATCTAAAAGGTCGAGAAAACATAAATATTATGTTCAAATGTATTATATAAAAATATACAAATAAAAGCATGTACAAATTTAATGAAAATAATGTTGTAGGGAATACCTGAAGAATTATCATTTGAGTATTCGTTATCTTCCTCGCTGGATTGATCCACGCTCATTTCTGTGACAAAGTCTAATCGGACAACTGAACGATTTCGAAATTGTATACTTTCGCAAGACATGTTATTTGCTCTTTTATGTATTGGAGATATGTTCGGAGAAGATAAATTATCAAGAACAATTTCAGATGTATCGAAACGATTTTCTGAATCTTGTGATGGCTGGAAGTAAATTTTATTGAAGTCTACCCAAAATTAAGAGATCCATTAATAATAAGAATTTCAAGTTACTTTGAATGGAACTCCATCTGCTAGCATGCCACTTTGTGGATGACTGGAAGACAATATAAGAGATCCATTCAATTTCACAGATGACACAGATTCAGAAAAGTTTTCCTCTTTATCCAAATATTCATCGTGGTTGCAGAATAACTTTCTTCTCAAGGAGTTATTGCTCGAGTTCGAGTCATCACTCTCAAGATTCTGTTCCTGAAAAATAGAAAAAAATCAGCAAAAAATTTATTATATTTAAATCACTCTGATTGCAATCTTTTTGTTTACTTGAGTGAATGTCAAATAAGGTTTTAAAACTTCTTCAACGTGCGATGGTAAATCAGGCGGCAACGATAATAGTGTTTGACTCCATCCTGAGAAAATATAAAATTTAAGCAATAGGAATGCGATGTGCAAAATTTATAGTAATTACCATCTTTCTTCAATTTTGAAGATACTGCATTCATGTTACTAGATGCTCTAGTTGGAGTGTCTGTTTTAATTTCCATTCTACTGTCTTTCTTCTTTACTTCCCATGGGCTTGGAATGATTTTATTTTCCTTAAAAAATCGATCGATAGCTGCTTGAGCTTTTACTTCAGTTTCTTGATCGATACAGTGTACCTGTTGCTCAGGAAATTCTTCTATACTTGCTGGCTGTATCATGGCCAGTTCATCCACGCACCATGCAAAATCTGGAGACTGCTGGGACGAATTTGAAACCTGCGTGAACAATATCGTAAGAAAATATTAATTTAAAAAATGGCATTATCCATCAAATTAAAACTCTATTTTACATTTCGGCAAGTTACAAAATATTTTAAAGGATTACCTTACTAAACACAGTCGGACTAATTACAGATAAATGCAGTCTACTAGTTAAATCAGTCTCAAATGGATTTCTTGCCATAAACGTTGTTAGTCCTGATGGTGGAGTAATATGACTAGGAAGCACACTGAAACAACTTATATTGTTTTGACATGTTGCGTGCGTTGAAATTGAATCATGCCGTTTCACAGGTGTCTTGTACATTATAGGGCTCTTCATTGCTATGCCGTCATGCTTGTTTTCATTCTTAATCGGTGTTGTCCACTTCAATTGCTCCATTTTAATGTAATTATAAAAACTTACGGAAATAATTATGGCAAATAGAGTAGCTATAAACGAAAATTCAAATGTTGATTGAAAATATTATATTTTCGTTTCTTTTCACGATAAATATATTTATTTTTCAAATAACTAAGAAAACAATGCTCTTGATTAAGAAAAACTGTTGTAAATTGTTTGGAATACTTACGTGTTCACTATCGAGAATGTTGTAACGTCTTTTATCTTTTCGTCCTTTCAATCTATAACCGTTACTGCATAAAATAAACTTGTATATTTCATGAACTTTCTTATTGGATCATTAGTTTTATTTTATGCACAACGGTAGAACGCTACATAATGCCATTCCTGTAATTCAGGAATCTGTTTACGAATTTGAATTATTTTAAATCAACGAACTGTAATCACGTGACCATGTCATAAATTACACTGAATCACACTCTCAGCGATTTCCACGGAAGACAAACGGGAATCTAGTCTAACAACTAAAGACAACTGATGTCCTAGGGCTCGATGGTGGCGGTCTGCAGTGAGTCCGACAGGTACTTTCCTGCGCGTGAATTAACGTATTTCTGATTAATACAATTTTTACGCAATTAGTACAAATGTCCATACTACTTCTAATAGTAATTTAGTAATTTATAATAGAATCTTTAAATTCTTATTTTCTGTTTCTTTTTCTACGATAGTGGCGGTGCTAGTGGCAGAATCAAGAAGCTTTATTTAGTTACTGTACAGCGCCAATTAGTCAGTGGCAAAATGCCCAAACTGTTTGCCAAACAGTAGCGTCAC